ACTGTACGATTGTGAATATTCAATGTGAAATTATGGTTTGGAAAATTTCATTTAATGAGAAAGTACGTCATCTCGTATTAGACTCGATCTACTTAACCCATCTTACAACCAGCGTATTCATAAGTACAATATATTTTTTTATGTTTAGAAATTTTGATTCATATGATGAAACAAAACGATTTTGCTCAATTTTATGTACATGACAGAAGATAATACGATAAAAGTTGGTGTTGTAACCTCAGGCTGCGTATGTTATAATTAATGATATATTTATTATGGATTCTAAATAGCCTTATATCATACAAAAAGCAGAAGTAAAAACATGACTTGAATGTTTATTATATACTAAATCTTGGACCATAATGTTTACTTAACTAAAGCCTGTGCCACGAATTATAGAAAATAATAGAGTTACTTATAATTAAAGTAAAAAGAAAAGAAATAAATTGTTAGAATGTTGAGCATTATAAATGTGAGATCATACGAATAACACATGTGCATAGAATGAATAAAACAGAAGTGTGAGTTTTACGAGAATTCGCTCCTAACGTTCTTGCTTCAGTCTCTAACACGTAACACGCCTTCCTTAATGCATTTACAAGTAACCCTTGTACTAGCTAGATCGGACAAGAAAACCACTTTGTCATGGTGTCAGTAGTTGTCAACCCAAGCTGAGAGTTGAGAAAACATAAACATCTTTCTGGTATGAGTGGTTGACAGATTATTCTGAGAAAGGAATCACTGGTTTAACAAGAATCCCGTTCCTGAAAAACTTCGTTCAACTCTATACTATTTTTGTAAGCTTTTGGCTGAGAATTTGGAATCTTCCTTGATGGATGAAGCATGAAATTACTGCTTTGATCCTACTCTAGAAACTGTACTTTCTGTCGTGTTTTGTGACTTCTGTGTATTCCCAACGAGCAACAGAGTCTAATACCAAAACTTGGATAGAAAATAGAGCTGAACAGACTCGAGACAAGACTGTATGATAATATAAAAGTGTCAGTCTTGTGAGTTTTTTTAATAATTCATTGGACTCTTTGCATTGGCTTGTTTGAAAATGTTTACGATTTTCGTCATCCATTTGGAATTCATGAAAGTTATGGGGAAGAATATTCGATATACCAGAAAAAATATTATGAACTCAAATTTTAAAGGTAATAAAATATTGTCTGTTTCTTAACTCCATCAGCTAAGATGGCGCTAAGTTTAGAGGGTAATGTAAAAAAAAAAAAATATTACAATATATATTGGTAGTTAGCAAGATTTTGACGCCGACTTTCCCAGTAACACTAAATTGTCATAAGTCAGTTTCCATATTAACTGCTAGCTACGGTCTATATAAGAAGCTTGATGTCATCACAAGTTTCTTTAAATGCTCATCAATTACACATTTCAAATTGATCACCAATACATATTTCACATTACTCATTAGTACACATTTTACATTACTCATTAGTCCACATTTACATTTTTAATTAGTTTGTTTGTTTGTTTGAAGCTAAGCACAAAGCTACACAATGAGCGATCTGTGCTCTACCCATCACGGGTATCTAAACCCGGTTTCTAGCTTTGTAATTCCGCAGACATACCGCTGTGCCACTGGGGGGCTTCTCATGAGTACATATTTCACATTACTCATTCGTACACATTTACATGACTCATTAGTACACATTTGTATTACTCATTAGTACAAATTCACATTACTCATTAGTATACATTTCACAGTACTCATTAGTACACATTTCACATTACTCATTAGTACACATTCACATTGCTCTTCAATACGCACCTTACATTAAATTATTGAGGTTTATAAATAAATGTTTTAAAATCGAAGCTATGGTTAGAAATGAAATGAACTGCATTAATATTTTAATATTACAATACTAGTGGAGTCCTGCAAAACATTGGCAGTCAAATTAGTGTCTTTATTGCAAAAGTATTTCTTTAAATACAGGGTTTCTAGAATAATACAGAAGAATACTAATCTCAGACACCGAAATGTACAAGTTCACTTGTCTTAGGCCTAACATTAGTTAAGCCTTTATTGAGTACGGCCTATATTCGATAAAGATATGAATTAGCACTGTAACCTGTGTACGTTTGTGCTTTAGTTTAGTTAGGGCTAAACTTTACCGTAATCAATACTATCGATAAATAATCTAATAATATTATTCTACAACCTAAAATTAGATATTTTTAAAAACTTTAATAAGCTGTTAGTATATTGTACAAAATGTCTAATAAAGTATATTTACATCCGGTTTTTGTTTACATCCGTTGAAATGAAGTGCGCGCGCATGTGCATTTAGATAGTAGTAAAAACTGAGTAGTATTATAATAGATGTTAAAACTCATTAAGTATAATGAGATAAAATTATAAAAATATATACTATCAACACAATATTATAAGTTATATGTTCTACTTGTCGTTTAAGTGAACGAAAAATTCTCTAGTAGATCAGATTTACTTTAATATATGTTTTACGATTTTGTGATGTTTATATTTAACGTCTTATTGTATTTATAAGTATCAGAATTACGTGTTCTCTTGACCCAAGATTTTCAGTGACACACAATAAAAAAATAAACATTAATTATAAATATAGAATACAGCCATTAATTATATAAATAAAATACAACCATTAATTATATATATAGAATATAGCCATTAATTATATATATAAAAAATACAACCATTAATTATAAATATAGAATACAGCCATTAATTATATATATAAAATACAACCATTAATTATAAATATAGAATACAGCCATTAATTATAAATATAGAATACAACCATTAATTATATATATGAAATACAACCATTAGTTATAAATATAGAATACAACCATTAATTATATAAATAAACTACAGCCATTAATTATCAATATAAAATACTATTTTTTAAATTGGACAAAACATTGCTTAAAATCCAGCTCAAGTTTACCTTGAAAATCACGAGATTACAAGTTATTCCCTTATTTGATTATCAATAAAACCAAACAAAACCGTTTCAAGAAAATGTTATTTTCAAGGAAGACAGTAGGGCTTGATTCCAGGTCACCAACATAGTTCAGAATAACTACATTCATTGAGAAGGTAAGCTCAGTAGTTTTTCATATCTCACACCAGTTTGATTAATTTCACTAATTCTCCAGTAAGTTCGGAAGAGAGAAAACCTAAATCTTTGGCAGTTTTACATAACGAGATGAATATAGAGAAACCGTGTTTTTATTCGTGAAAAAGATTAACAGATATTAATCTTATTGAGATAGAAAAAACTCGGAATGGGCGTTATATTTGTTAAAATAATTACGAGGCGGCAAACGTGATATGTTAAAATTGTCCAAATGATATATACTTCGCGCTTAGTTAGATTTACATACACATTTTGTTGACGTAAACGATCTTATATTCTGGTTTGTCTCGTGAGCAAATACTTTCTGAATAGTTTTATAAAAAAATGCCAAGAACTACGAGAACATTCTATTTTATTTATTCAATATTTGAAAACTATAAGCGTTACTTAAACGTGCTGATACATATATCACAATTATCTGTGTTACATCAAAAGCGTACAAGCGATTACGCAGCCCTGCACAGCCCTAACAAGATAATTATGTAAAAATAAAACATTTGGATTATGGATGTACGTGCCAACAAATACATGGTCGTACTAGCAAAGCTGTAAGAATACACTTTAAAATTATACCATTCATACAATATATATGTATATGCATATTAACAGAGTTATTGTGATTAGGTGGTCCATTCTAATATTCGTAGTTCAATATTAATCAACAGAGATCTATTGCGTTTTGTAGATAAACTAATAATACGATGAACAAAGCTATTCCAATGTCAAAATAATTTTCAATATGAGGCGCTGTAGCACAGTTTCTATACCACTGACTGTATAAAAAGAACACCAAACATGTCAGAATTTATCCTACCATTAGAAATTGTTTCTGACAGCTTAATTCTGAATATTGGAAATGTTCTTGTAAAGTATTACTACAGCCATGGACGGTAATAACGCTAGTGCAGCATTAAAGCAATATCGACGGAAAGAGGACCATGAATCAATGAGGCTTATGGGAAGATAGTAAAGACATTTGGAGAAGGAGGATCGGCTGTTGATGTAAGTTGAAACGTGCTATTTTACATTCTTACACTTTATGAAAGAGAAGAGTTAGTTTTGAATGAAACAGTCTTCAAGCTAGATGGGGCTCCACCCCACATTGCTGTGACGTGCTTTCATGGATAGGGTAGTCAAAAGACATTTTCCACACCCATCGCCACATTTCCCCTTGTCAATTTTAAGTTATGTGGACACCTAAGGTCTTTGATTAATCGTACGCACCCCACAGCTTGACACATCAGAAATATATGACATATATATCATACGACACCAAGTAAAGTGTAACAGTTAAAAATACAGTATTATTCAGCTGTCTTTCATGAATACACGCGAATGGCGATCGCATTGAACATCGTTAACATATTCGTTGTGCGAATATCTCCATCAGCGCCATTTTGTGATGATTGTTTATCTATCAAATATTGTATATTTCTGTTTATTAGTTTTCGAATTGTAGATGTTAGATCAGGCCAATTAAGTTTAACTTTGTATATATACATACAGTATTGGAAATAATTATAGAAACAGTGAGAAACATGGGAATTAAATGTTAACACAGTGAATAACATGGAAATTAATTGTTAACACAGTGAATCCATGGAAATTAATTGTTAACACAGCGAATCCATGGGAATTAAATGTTAACACTTTGTATTGTTTCCCCTCCCTTCTATTGTATTTAGCAGAACTATACCTGAGTGCAGTCTCGTACTGTTACTTTACACTGTCATCTAATCAAACAGCGCTACGCTAGCGTAATGCCTATAAAAGCACAGACACTCTTACTATTCCCAGCTGTAGCGTGGTGAAAGCTCTCATGGCTCCCAGATGTATAGAAATCAAAGTTTTGGCATGGGAAAGGTTGAGAAGAAATTTCATGTTTCAGTAGGAGCTAACTGTATAGAAACTCCTAAAAGGGTAGGTAAAACTAGTACTATTGATAATGGAAAGTCAACTCTTAAAACAGTAAGGGTAAGTTCTTTTCGTGGAACAAACGATCCACTACAGACCTTGTAAATGATCTAGCTGTAAGCAACGGTGTGAACGTTACTTCCAGAACACCAATGAACTAGCTGTAATTAACGGTGTGAATGTTGCCTCCAGAACACCAATGAACTAGCTGTAAGTGACGGTGTGAATGTTACTTCCAGAATACCAATGAACTAGCTGTAAGTAACGGCGTGAATGTTGCCTCCAGAACACCAATGAACTAGCTGTAAGTGACGGTGTGAATGTTACTTCCAGAATACCAATGAACTAGCTGTAAGTGACGATGTGAATATTATCTCCAGAGCAATAGATTCACATTATCACGAAGATACCTCAATGAATGTACAGCAGCTCACAAACCACTACTCAGGAGAAATAACCAAACGGCTGAAATGGCTATTAGAATCCAACAACAAGTTGATAAAATATAGAGGACCGTGTTCTTTACAGATAAATTAAAACTGAAATTGTTTGGAAAGAGACAACGGTAGTTTTTCGATGGCAGAATGGATATCGGTATAATAGTCAACATACAACATCTAAGGTGAAGCATTCTAAAGGATCAATACAAGGTTTCTACAAACCACTAGTGTTGGGGATATACAAAGAATTGATGGCACCCTGACTCATGACAGGTTCAAGCAGATTTTCGTCTATCATAGGCAGCAAGACAGTGATCCTAGCATGTAGCAAGTCTGGTGAAACGATATATTCTAATTTGAAAAGCTCCAATAGAATACTTACAACTACGACCTGGCCAGCAAAAATTTTTGATATGAATATTATAAAGATTGAATTGTAGGAAATAACAGAGGAAATCTGTAACACTATTTTACAATCAAGCACTCATAAGATTTTCTGCTCTATGTAAAGCAAATACAAAATTTTAATTCATTTTACTTCTTCACTTATATTGTATTTTCTCTAATAATGTATTATACTAATGATAAACTGACCATTTAGTTGCAATTAATCGTTCTTTACTAATCCTCTATGTATATCACCTGTGCGTTTCCATAATTATTTCTAATACTGTATGTAAATATATCCGAGAAAGATGTTATCGCTAAAAAATAATAACTTTGTAAGACACCTAATGTTTTATCCAAATAAGTGTTTTATTAACTGTAAGCATTTTTATATGGAATATGTTAAGGACTAGTGACATGTTTTAAACCCCGAACATTTTGATAAAACTTTAGATGAGAACTAACCACAATTACGTAATTGTGAAACAGAATTAATTAAAGTTAAATACTTTTCAACCATTTCCATCGTTACTGGATCGAAATGTCAGAGAAACTTTTACCACTGCTAACGGTCTTTCCTTTTAATTGTAGCTCTATGAGTATGTTTCTACACTTACAAAAATGTAATATATCTAAAATATTTATTTAATTGGACATATATATTTAAATAACTAAAGATACCACTTGAAAACGATTATCAGAAAAAAATAATGTTTTTTTTTTTTTTACAAAATGCAAGTCTCTCTTGCTTCTAGGTGACTGTTCTTAATTTCTTCGTTATCAGTAAGTATATGATGGTTGTAAATCCATGATGTTACGGTCACTGAACTGTATTTATTGTCATGTTTAACAGTCAGTTATTGAAAAAAGTCATCTGGTCATATAATCTTAACATGCAATGTGATGTAATTTAAATTGTCCATTATTATACAAGGAAACATAAGCGTAAACAATGTTAGATTTTTTTTTAGTTTTAGCAACAAATAGAGCTGTTGTTTTACAATACTACTGTAGCTTAGGTAAGTTTTAAAATTATACTGTTTAAGTATTATTAATTCGGGTCATTGACTTGTAGCTAGTTATTTTTAAATCTCCGTAAAAACCGAAAAGCTATATCAAAGATATAGGTATTATTAATTAGGGTCATTGACTTGTATCCATAGTTTTTTTTTTAATCTCTGTAAAACCCGAAAAACTATATCAAAGAAACTAGAAATGTTTTGAACTACATCACGTAAACTTTATTCTATTTCGGGTGTTTACGTTTCTGCTAAGATAAATGAACGATACAAAATAAGTTTTATAAAATCCGATTTAATTATTTCGTCTCGATATTCCTACTTACTTGCCGATAATTAATTTGTTTACCTCTATTGTCTTAACTAAGAACATAGTCATAAACTGTTTTCCTAATTTAAAATAAACCAAAGAGAGTGTTTCAGAAGAGGTTGTTTTTCTATTACTTTCGAAAAGGAGTCTGCTGCACAGAAATATTTTCAAAACACCAATTTCAAACAATTCAAGCGTGTAAGCTGTATTAAAATTTTAGCCAGTAAATGTTTCATTTATTTAGTAATCTCGTTGTCCTGGCCCGGCATGGCCAGGTGGTTAGGGCGCTCAATTAGGGTTGCAGGTTCGAATCCTCGTCACACCAAACATTTTCGTCCTTTCAGCCGTGGAGGCGTTATAACGTGACGGTCAATCCTACTATTCTTTGGTAAAAGAGTAACCCAAGAGTTGGTGGTGTGTGGTGATGACTAGCTGCCTTCCCTCTAGTCTTACACTGCTAAATTATAGACGGCTAGCGCAGATAGCCCTCGTGTAGCTTTGCGCGAAATTCAAAACAATCAAAACTCGTTGTCCTAGCGGTTAGTATTATAAGTTTGGTTTTCGTTGTAATAACTTCGTGATACTATTCAACTACTCCAAGTAGTATTCCACTATACATTGGGCAGATTGAGGAATTCTGTTCGTCACCTTTTCTTCTGTAGGTCTCGTGGATCCGTCTACGCGATTTTCACGTCCTTACTATTGGTAGGTACACGTACACTACAGACCAACGGTTTGAAGCTTATCATACCGACTTCTCGAACGACTGGGCTCTCAAAATACAGAATGTGCAGCAGAAAGACGAAGGCTTGTACGAATGTCAACTGACGTCCGACAACCCTGTGAGTCAGTACGTGTACCTTCACGTTGTAGGTGAGTCTAAGAGCAATCAGAATATCGAAGTGAACTATTTTTGGGATCTAAGAGATTTGTCGAATACAATATTTTGATATCTTGTATTATATAGCTCAAATTTAAATCCAAGTTTCATGTTTTTGTTGGCTATTTTCAAATATAAGCTTTTGTAATACTCATATGTCCAATTTTGTTGAAAGAAGAAAAAATCATTAATTGTTTCATTCTTTCTAAGTTAGTCTCACGTGGCCATCAGATGCCAAAAAGTGTAATTCTAATTCTAATTAGGTTACTTGAATATATAAAATACATTAAAAGAAATTTGTGATCTCTGAGAAAGGTTTGCCTCTTTTAACCTAATTTCAAAGTTTTAAATTTCCCTAAAACAAATACAATCACAGTGTGAATTTTTCGAAAATAACTATCAACGTAAAAACTACAAGTATTTAAAATGTGAAATTTAATACTTCAAACTATGATTTAATTTTATTTTCACTACACTAAATGAGAATGAGTGAAAAACAATCTAAGTTATTTTCACTAGAGCTATACAGTATGCAGAAAAACCTTAATAAACTGAAAAACATATTCTAATAAAACAGATGCCTTTCTTATTATATTTTTTATGAATAGTTTTGTTATAAAATTTTCGACAAGTGCATTTCTACTGAATCATTTTGGCAGTGTGTCTCCAAATCCTACTCTCCGTTCAAATTCCATCCTTCTTGACATCACCGCGTACATATCCTAGTCTTAATTCAAATCATATCCTGCTTGACATCACCACGTGCAAATCCCGTTATTTGTTCGAATCCTATCCTTTTTCATATTACTTAGTGCAAATCCTATTCTCCGTTCAAATTCCATCCTTCTTGACATCACCGCGTACATATCCTAGTCTTAATTCAAATCCTATCCTGTTTGACACCACCACGTGCAAATCCTTCTCTACGTTCAAATCCTATCCTGCTTGACGTCACAACATGCAACCTCTATTCACCATTCACATCCTGTCCACCACTTCTTGCCAACACCTACCCTTCTTGACATCAACACTCGCCAAATCCCACTCTTTGTCCTAGTCCTATCCGCTTGAAATCACAATGTGTTAAATTCTATTCTCTGTTCAAGTTCTATCATGTTTGACACCAACATGTGCACATTCCATTTTCCGTTCAAATCCTCTCATTTTCTAAACCTTCATGTGCCAGATCCTATCCTACTTGAAACAACAATGTGCAACACAAATCCTATTATATTTCCTAATCCCATCCTGCTGGAAACAATAATGTCCCAAGTCCTATTTTCTTTCCAAATCCTATTCTCCTTCTAAATCCTATCCTGCTTGACACTAACATGTGCTATAGCCTATTATCTATCCAAATGTTATCCTTTATAACATCATCATGTGCCAAATTCTATCCTACTTCTAAGTCCTATTCTGCTTGACACTAACATGTGATATAGCCTATTATCTATCCAAATGTTATCCTTTATAACATTATCATGTGCCAAATTCTATCCTGCTTGACACTAACATGTGCTATAGCCTATTATCTATCCAAATGCTATTCTTTATGACATCATCATGTGCCAAATTCTATCCTGCTTGACACTAACATGTGCTATAGCCTATTATCTATCCAAATGCTATTCTTTATGACATCATCATGTGCCAAATTCTATCCCTTTTCCAAATTCTGTCACTGTTCTTTCTATTTTTAAAGAGTACATAATAAAAATTAAGTCATCTTTCAACTTAGCCAATGTAGTGAAAGCAAATAAAGGAAATATTTCACGCATCATTAGAATTGTGTAGGCTTATGTTTTTCAGAATGTTTAACGTTTATATCTCGTTTGCATCAGACGCATGCTCGTTACGATCGAAAGGATAGAAATAGGACGTTATTTGTCAGTGCATTGGACCAAACCTCAGACACACAATTAATGACTATTTTACCAATAACTTAATCAGCTATGTTTATCATTATCTGAAAATTATTTGTTTAGAATATTTTACAAAATATTTCTTTAATAAAGTATAAAAATTTATGGCTATTATTTTAATAATTATCAGTTACTGTTATTTAGAAAAAAAGAAAGAAATAGTTTTATATAATATCTTAGTCAGTTCTTGTAACAACTATATAACAGAAGCTTTTATTATTTTTAGTCATATCAATAGTATTTTATAATTCGTATTGCCCTGGTAAACATTAACAACCAAGTGGGTTGTGTATTTATAGACGTAGTATATTTTCCACTGGTTTAGATACTAGTCATCATTTAAGCTAACAGAATGAAATATCTATGATGTAAAAGAAAACAAACTTCATGTAGTTCCACTTGCTAAAATACTGGAGGGTAGAGAACTTTTCTTCAAACCTGGAAGTTCCATCAACATCACGTGCTTCATCAGCAATAGTCCAGAGCCTCCTGTCTACGTGTTCTGGTATCACGACGAGAGGATGATCAACTATGACTTTATTGAAGGACAAATTACCGTCAGAAAAGCTCCCAGAAATACAGCCTTCAGCAGTCTCTACATTAACGATGCCCAGCTTTCTGACTCAGGGAACTACACGTGTGCACCGTCAAACTCAAATCCAGTCAGTATTCTTGTGAATGTTATTAAAGGTGAGTGATATTATGGCCAAAGTTTAATGTAGTTGTTAAATCAGTAGCTGATAAAACAATGGCAGTTAAGGTAACATTTTATTTCAAAAGTTTGTTTGTTTGAACGCAAAGCTATACGTTGCACTATTTGCGCTGTGCCTGTCGATAGAATCGAACCTCGAATTTCAGTGTTATTATAAACCATCAAACTTATTCTGAGGCACCAGAGGGGATTTTTCAAAGAACAAGTGTCTTTTATTGCTATAGTAGTCTATGTAATATTCTAATAAACAACGTTATTGTTCTGATGTTGTTTATATTTTGAATAATCTCGAATTCGATTATAGGATGCATAAAAGATATATAACATTTTATTAACTACTTGCTACTTAACTACTTCCAAATTAGTTTTCGAAACATCAAGAAATGCTAAAACGTATGCACGTAAACTTAATCAGCACAGGGTTTTCTTACTGAATAGTCTATAAACAGATGTACATCTGAATAAATGTCAAATTTTTGAAAAGAACTGTATTTCTAACCTTTCTACAAATATGTATAATATAGTCACTTTTATTAAGTTTCCTACTTAATCGAAGCCCCCAGTGACACAGTGGTATGTCTGCGGATTTGTACTGCTAGAAACCGGGTTTCGATACCCGTGATGGGCAGAGCACAGATAGCCCTTTGTGTAGCTTTGTGCTTAATAACAAACAACAAACAACAACAACTTAATCGAAAGCCAAGGAGCTCTACACTTCCTAAGTTTAATGAAATATCTTCAAGGATTAAAGTTCTTAAAACAGTACGATTTGTATCTTAATATTCAGTAGATTATTTTTAGATTTCAATGCTAATAATGATAAAGCAAACCCTTCGTTGTTACTTCATACATGTCAACGTGTTCTGGTATCACGACGAGAGGATGATCAACTATGACTTTATTGAAGGACAAATTACCGTCAGAAAAGCTCCCATACATAACCTTTGTTTATGTTATAAAAACATTGCGTGGTGTTACACTTGCGATTACTTATTCGTTGTTTGAGCAATATAAAGGACAGAGATGTAGGCCCAATTTATCTCTCTTTGGTTAACTTGTGTTCAGGGTTACTGATGAGGAATGAAATTATCCGAAACTAGTATAACCCACAGGTTGATCAAAGTGTGGATCGAACTGGACCTCCCTTGAACTTAGATTTCGATATTAAACAATTTTCGGAATACTAAGTTTGTTTATTAATATAAAGGGCATTATATTGCAGCATTTAATGTGTGAAATAAGATTCATTTGGGATTTAATTTCAGTCTTATTGAGATGTGATCGATTAAAAAAACTCAAGTTTGATGCCAATATATCAAAGGAGATATATTTTGACGCATATCGAGTGAGGGTGGCTCAGAAAAGAAAATAGATGTATAGGAAAGTAATTGTTAATGGTATGGAGTGAAGTGCCAGAGGCCTATCCTAAGATAGTATCATTTCCATCTATGATATTCTTACTAATATTCATCATATATCAAATAAAACATTTAAATCAAAACTACCAAAATCGATTCAGAACAAACAAAAAACAACTTTTAGGCATAACTACAGATGAGATAAAAATCCTAACACTGTTAAGCAACGGCGGCAAACAATTAATAGATATACTGGCCAAATGTCGCAAGTGTTAATATTGCGGCTTTATGGCAATATTATTTATTATTCTTGGTCTGCATGTACGGTGTCTAAATCTAACTGAGTCTGTAGTACGCAGCCGCCACGCATTTCATATCATATGATGTGAAAGATAATGTTCATATGAGAACCGTTCGGCATACAATCAAGCAACAGCCAGGGCACTCTGGTAACATTCTCCATATAATAAGACCATGCTAAATTATTCTTCAACTGAATGCTGCGTCATTATTTAAACCTGTAAGATCAGCTGTAGCACCATACCTATATTGAGGCATTTATTTTAATACTATTTAATTGACACTTTGTACCCTTTCCAAGGTGCAATGGCCCACCACTGGCACAGCGGTATAATCCGGGTTTCGATACCCGTGGTGGGCAGAGCACACGTAACCCAATGTGTAGCTTTGTGCTTAACTTCAAACAAACACAAACAGCTCATGTAAAATTCTAGCCTTGCACCTGAAGCCTAGACTTTTGTAATAACCTTTAGTGTCGTCTGATTTCGATCTTCTTTGGCAAAACTCCATGTGCATTAATCAATAATAATAATATCTTGTGGGAGATAACTAACCAGCTTCTTCAAGTAATAACTGTTTTCCATTTTTATCACAAAGGTTAAAATGTATGTATAATAAAAACTGTTCAGTAAACTGCAACGTAATTATGTATTCTCGATATATTAAAATATGTTTAAAAATGAATTTGTAGACTAAATGAACGAAAAAGAAAATTGCCTTTACTTTAATGTTTCGAGAAGAAAAGTAAATTGAACACATGAATATTGTTAGCGAATAGACACTCTCTTTGCGGAAGTGTTCTGTTTGCTTGAGAAACTATGTATTTCATTATTAGTCCAAGTGCGAAACTTATTCACACAAATGGCATAAGAGAAGGCTTACCTGAAGCCAAAGGCGGAAATGAAGAAGCCCTGGATGAACAGATAGAGTAAGACCCTTGAGATTATATTATCTTCAACGGTATGAAATTGAAAATACAACGGTTGCTAGGAGACAGAATCCGTTTTAGTGCGTCTGATATATACGTATATTATGTCTACTGGGAATGTGTCTGTAAATAACACAAACTAAGGACATACATTGTGTTTGCTAAGATCTATTTTGGTATTAAACAAATCAGTGAAAACAAGCTGATACTGCTTGTTCAACATCATATATAACCAAGTTATTTATATAAAGAAAAGAAAGAACACAGATATCGAACGCAAGCCTTTAACGATGAAACTGTGCAACTGCGTAGATCCTTTCTTCTGTTGAAATAGGCGAGTCATACATTTTCCCCTAAGGTGTTAAAGACTGTAATGAACAGAACATTTGGACGAGATACCTCAGGTTTCACTTCATATAACACCATCTGTTCAGTCACATGATATCTTCTATTTTTAGTAGGTTGATGAAGTTGCTCTCCACAACGTTGATTCAAGTAATCATTAAAAAAATATAACTAAATTACTTGTCTTTAAATGAGCATCAGGTTAGATACAAAGTTCGATGTAATATGTTTTGTGTACATTTTTAATCAAAAAGCTACAATTACAAATATTTGTTAAAATACCAGAGGGATGTTGCTTTATGATGGTTTGTTTGTTTCTATAGTGAGAAGATTGACACTGGTATAAAACATTTACTGTCACAGAAAACTAAGGCTTCCTAGTGTGAAAAATTAAGCTTTCTTTTCCTAATTTATTTCTCAAGAAAAAACATATCAAAAAGTTGCCAAGTATTTGAAGTACCGAAAAATATGATGAATTTAGTCAAGGAGTAGTAGCCAAGGAAAACATATCAGAAAAAGTAGCAGGATTTCTTTTGCTTTAGATACTCAAAGCCGGCCGTCCCTAATTTTGGACTGAGAGCTAAAAGGAATAGAAGCTGTCAACAGTACCCATTGCCAACTTTTGGGCTACTTTAATCAAATAGTGAGCTATGAACCCTTACTCTTATAACGCATCTACAACTCCAAATTGCAGAGCACGAAGTTGTAGTAACAGGGCGCGAACCATAGACCCTCAAATATACATCACGGCATGCTAACCGGCCCAATATAAGATATAATGATGTAAATAATTAATAAGAGGTGCTTGGTAGTTTGTTCTTGTTATTTTTTTAATTGTTTAAAGGTCTAAACACATAACAGATTTTGACTGTAGTGAAAATAAAACATCTGAAAAAATAATGAGACATGGCGAATTCAAATGAAAAGTGGTGAATGTCTTTTTAAGCCATGAAACAAAGTGGCACCTCTAATCATAAAAACAATATATCTTAAATGAAGAAACAGTCGTTCCAAAAACATTTCCCCGATGGTTCATGGGTAAGCTTTAGAGCTCACAACATTAAAATTTGAGATCCGAGCCCCCTATTACGAGCACAGCATCAATAATATCCCGCTGTGCAACTTTGTGCTTTGTAACAAAGAAAATAAATATATTTTCTCTATTTTTGTTTGTGCTATAACTCCAGGTGTTATGATCGTGGTTTTTTTTTCCTCTTTTTACGTGAAATAAAAAAGTTAAAGGTTTTTTACATCATATTTTTAAAACCGTTCCGCTCTTGTTGTTTGTTGTGAATTTCGGCCAAAGCTAGACGAGGCCTAACTGCGCTAGCCGTCCCTAATTTAGCAGTGTAAGATTAGAGGGAAGGCAGCTAGTCATCCCCACCCACCGCCAACTCGTGGGCTACTCTTTTTCCAACGAATAGGGGGATTGATCGTTACGTTATAACGCCCCCAC